TCTTATCATACCGGTATGGTTTTTGACGAACTGGCAATGCATCTCCGGTGTCAATACTATGGTTAGTAACCTGAGTAAATCCTGGAATATCACTAAATAACGGAAGCAAATTCACTTACCACTTGTCGGATTCTATCTTGCTCGTCATTAGGCAGGTGGTCAAGATTTAACCTTGGCGGTTCAACCTTTTCTACACGCACTGGTTTCATTGTCAGCTTAAGGGACGCTTCATTAAAATCCAGTGTAGCTTGTGCGTCTGAAAGAAAGTCTATTCCTAAGATTAAATGTGCTTGCAGATTCTTTACTATAAAAAACATCACCTTTACTTGTTCGTCCTTGATACGGATATACAAAGGTACTTTACCTACGCACTTACATTTTTCTCCTTGCGCCGCTAATACTGTCGTATTATCCGCATTATATATGCGGTATTTGCGAAAATACTTTCTAAAAAACTCTTCTGCCACACAGGAACACTGCGCGCCGGTATCCAGGAGTGCGGTGGCCGGGATATTATTCACCAAGACTTCAATCTTCGGAAGAGTCAAATTTTTCACCATTACTGTATTTAACTTGTAGGAAGAGGGGTTTTCGTGGCCTTCGGATTTCCGCACCCTCTCGTCAGCAGAAATCCGTTTTAGTTTAAATTATTTTTCCTTTCCGTGCTTTCCTTCTTTTTCCACTGGCCTTGAGACTTTTTTCCTGGGTTGCTATTGAACTGTCGACGTTCGCCGGCTGTTTTTGAATGCTCGGGTTTCCTTGCCCACTGATTCGCTTTTTCTCCGTAGCCATGTGCTTGAGTTTGCTGTAGTCTTGGCGTACCAAATTGGTTTCGCTGTTGATATTGGCGTCTTCTTTCGACGTCCGCCGTTCTTCTACTTTCAAACTGGATTGCTAGCTCAAATAACTTTTCCAGTGTAGTCGGATTTCTTAATTCAATAAAGTCTTGCACTTGGGGTAGTAACCTCGGCAAAATCACTTGAATTATTTCAGGATCCGGACGGTTTCCATACAAGAGCTTGAAAACGTGAATTTTTCTTAAAATAAAGCTCGAGAGGTTTTCGATTCTTTGTTGATATATACTGAAAAGTTCCGTTTCTAATTTCGCACGATCCCTTACAACAGGGAAGGCTTTTAGTAGGGCAGTCTTGAAATTTTCGTAAGTATAGGTGGGACTTCCTGCTTGACCCAAGAGACTTCTGCCGATACATTTGAACCAGTTAAGCGCTTGGCCCCTCAAAGCGCTGGTAGCTAAGGTAACTTTTTGAAACTCGTGCACGGGGTAGAGCATGAAGTGGTCATCCAATTTTTCCAAAAAACTGGTTACCGGTGAGTTTCCATTAAACGTTGCTTCTGGTTTCATCGAAGCGCGCATGGTCTGGACGATGTAACCCAAATCCTTCCAGGGCGGCAGCTGGCATTTCTGGATTCTGAGCCGTTTCTGCAGGCAGCACAGGTTCTTCTTGAAACTCGGCCATGGTTATTCTTCTTCGTTGGGCGCCACTATCAGGTTCAATGTTCCTTCTAACCTTCTTCGGGAAACATACAAGGACCTGACTCGGAACAGAGAGCTTACTAAAGCTATGTTCACTAATTGTAGTAAGTAGACAGGATACAGACGAAGGGTATACAAAACCCTTTATTTTTCTCTTATATACAATAACTTCCGTACTTCGGAATACAATGACCCTCCACTCGGGGTCTAACGTAAAAGTATAAAAATAAAACTAAACTCTAATTTAACTTTAGAATAATAACGTGGAAGATTGGCCTTATAATAACAGGAAGCGTATGTAGCACAGAGACTGTGAACATTACAATACGTTTTAATTTATCAAGAGGATTAAAACCTCTGGCCTGGAAGGCAAACAGCAACTGCGTAACTTCTAAGGTAAGCGGCCTGCTTCGAACTCACTGCTTCCTCTCTCTCGCTTGGCAAAAAGGCCACACTTAAATACTTGGCGTTCGCCAGACAAACTTTGCATAAAAACCTTCACACTTATAATTCAGGCCGGAAGTAGAAAATAAGAAGTGATAGTAAAGATTTAAAATAAAATAAACGTTAGTAACTAGTCTTACACCCCCCTAGTCTGATTCAATGATACAATAAGGATATTTGTTAATGAAAACGTTATTGATTTCATCCGTCAAAGACAACAAAAGTTGTTTAAACGCTTCAATTCGATTGTGGTTTTGCTCATTTTTTCAGCAAAGTTTGTTTAGATTATGCGAGGTTGATGGATGAAATTATCCCACCAGAATTGCAAGACAAGTGGAACAAATGGTGTATAGGCAACTATGTGATCTACCTAATATCCAGATACCTTGGTGGTATTTTCGTGATGTTGATGAAACGCCTGAAACACTGGAACTACATTGTTTTTGTGATTCATCTCAAAGTGCTTACGGAGCAGCAGTGTACGTGAAATTCCGTAGCTTAAAATATTCTGGAACAAGTTTAGTGATAGCCAAGAGCAGAGTGGCTCCCCTGAAAAAATTATCTTTACCAAGACTCGAGCTTATGGCAGCAGTGTTAGGTGCAAGACTTATAACTACAGTCCATGTGCATTTTCCTCAAGCTAAGATTCATTTATGGACAGATTCTCTTATTGTGCTTTATTGTGCTTCATTGGATAAAGAACTCACCACGGCGATGGAAAACATTTGTACAAAATCGAGCGTCTGAAATTCAAGACAAAACATCCCCGAGTATGTGGCATCATTGTCCTGGCTCAGATAATCCATCCGACAAAATCACACGCGGTGTTAAAGTGAGTGATCTTGTAGTATATCAAGTGTGGTGGCATGGACCTCCATGCCTTCATCAAGATGAAATAAATTGGCCTAAAGTGAACGAGCATTGTAACATAGTAGATAGTGCTGAAGAAAGAGTTGTGACTCAAGTTATTAGCAGTGTTCAACCTTTACAACCTGTGTTAAAAATAGAAAACTTTAGTGATTTAGGTAAACTTTTAAGAGTAACGTCATATATATTTAGAGTCATTAATAATTTAAAGTCACAGAATAGAGTGATTGGTGCTGTGACCAAAAATTAAATATGTGATGCTATGTGTTATTGAATTATCTTATCACAAGGTGAGTATTTTTTTTTTTTTGCAGAATTGAATGATGTTAAATGTAAAAAATCATTGACTCATAATTCCAAATTGTTTGGGTTAAATCCAGTAATGGATGAAAAAGGTTGTTTAAGAGTTGGAAGTAGATTAGTAAAATCATCATTAGATGTCGATGAAATTCAGCCTATAATATTACCAAATAATTATTTTTCTCGTTTAATTAGTTTTAAACGTTCATGAAAAGGTACTTCATAGTGGTTTAAACGAAACTTTAGTGCAAGTAAGAGGGAAATTTTGGATTTTAAAAGCTAGAACGTTTTGTAAAATCTGTGTTACATGATTGTAGTTTTTGTAAAAAATATAAAGCTAAAGCTGGACACCGAGATATCGGCTCCGCTTCCTGCTGACCGAGTGGAGAAAGGTCAACCATTTGAGGTAAGTGGCCTAGATTTCGCTGGCCCTTTGTATTTAAAAGATGGTACAAAAGTGTATATCTCATTGTTTACCTGTGCAGTGACTCGAGGAGTCCATTTAGAATTGTTATCGAAAATTTAAGTATAGAGTGTTTCATTCAAGCCTTACGTAGATTTTTTTGCACGTAGGGGTATTTGTAGAGTTATTTATTCTGATAATGCTAAAACCTTTAAACTGCTGATCGTGAATTAAAATATTTGTATAAATTGTGTAAAGATGAAAAGGTTCTAAATTTTCCTTGGGAAAAATGGGTTTGAATGGAAATTTATTGTAGAAGGTGACTCCTTGGTGGGGCGAATTCTGGGAACGTTTTAGTAAGATCTCTGTAAAAACTTATTTAAAACGTATACTTAGGTAAAGCTTCTTTTATATTATGAAAGAACTGTATACTGTCTTAGTTGAAGCTGAAAGCAGTTATTTTAAATTCTAGACCTATAACGTATGTATACAATGAAACAAATGAACCAGATCCTCTTTCACCATTAATTTTATAACTCGATCCAGATTGACTGTTTTACTTTCACCTGAATCTAAACTAGAATCTACAAGATCTCAGTTGATTAAAAGATGGAAGCTTAGGCAATTAATATTAGAGCATTTTTGGAAAAGGTTTTATAAAGAATATTTGTTAGAATTAAGATCAGTCATGTTTTCAAAACCTCCAAAGAATTCTCCCATATTTAAAATGAATGATATTGTACTTGTACGAGAAGATAATGTAAAAACGCTGTAACTGGAAGATAGGTAGGATTAATGGAATTATTTCACGGAAGAGATGATAGAATTAGATCTTGTGAGATTCAGTTGTATAAGGGTTTTGTTAGAAGACCAATTGAAAGACTTTATAATCTTGAAGTTCAGTAAAACTGATGCATTCGTTTCCGGATGCATGGGGGGGAGTGTTAAGTTTAGGATTATGTATCCTTAGATTGCCAATAGATGACGGTAGTGTTTATTTGTAAAAAGAAAGTGTGATGTCTCGTCTTTGGTGTTCGTCAATAAACGTTGTGTGGAATAACGCTCCTCTGTTTATTACTTTATATTTGATCCAGTCTGATTTATTAGAGACTTACATATATTTTGTTTAGCATCATCTGACTACCATTAGTTTCGGTCTGGTCAAAACTGTCTTGATGGTAAAAAACTGGCCTACCGATTCGCCGCTGCAATTCACTTGGCCAAGTTTTTCGACGATAAACCACAGAAGTTCTATACCGGTGGAATTATGAAGCTACCTCAAAAATGGCCAAAGGTCTTAGATATTATTATCAATATGTGTTTGATTAAAATTAATTTTCAACTAAGAAAAGTTTCGTTCAAAAATGTACCAAAAAAGCGAGAACACTTTTTATATGACACAATAAATATGGTACTTTTAAAATGTTCTTTAGTTTTATTTTCTCAAATATAAAATCATGTATATGTGCTTTTATCTAAAATAATCTGTACTATTTTTGAAATTATTTATTTAATTGTAGCTAACAGATGAAAAAATATGAACAGCATTTCGCATGTTGCAATTTCTACAGATGGGATTGCAAAACATGAACAAGTAAGTTCTAGAAATATATATTCAACTATGCTGGAAAAAAAATCGGTTGCTCGGAATCTACCAGTTCCTCTTACTGCCAGTTAAAAGAGATTCTACTGCATATGAGTTATTGGCAAATATACATTCAGGGTAACTTACCTGATAAATATGTATGTCCAGGTAACTGCACAGGTAATGTTTTACTTTTTGCACTTTATCTGATTCAGTATTCTATAAAAGTAAATAAACTTTTCATTTAAATTATTCACAAATATGTTAAATGTTCAGATTAAATTATTTTTATGAAAAATATTATTGATATTGAAAATGTGCATAAAATATCAACAGAAATTAATATTTTTATTCATACCTGATTCGAAACATTCAGAATTTCGTTTGCAACGCCAGTATCCCATAAGTGATGGATTGCTCTTTCAGGAAGTTCATTGTGAATATTCTATAAGCCGAAAGAATACTGGAAACAGTTTTAATTGAAATAGTCATATTTTTAAAACTTCTTATTTAAATACTATTTAATATTCTTTAAGATTTCTATGAAAATGTTTATTATTATTAATCTTAAAAAATGGATATTTCCTTTATTTTATTCTAACTATGTGATAAATATCTCACACAAAAAAAAGTAAATAATAGTAAAGGAATTTATAAGAGAGAAAAGGAATCGAAATTTAATCTAGTTGAAATAAAAGTGCATTCTAAAAATAAACATATAATTTGTTAGGTCTTAAAGCAATAAAAATCAGCTTAATTTTCCTAAATTTCCAGGATTAGTTTCGAAGGTTTAAATATAGAACCTTAACTGTTTTCTGCTTTAATGAATTTCTTGATCCTGCTGTTCAGCTCACTTTAAAACTTCAAATGTTCAATTTATAGGATCGTACTCTCTTTGGCCACATAAACTCTACGAGATCCTACTAAGGAGCCTGGCGACTCCTCGCACAGGCTTAAAGGAAACAATTACAGAAGAAGCGTAAAAATAACCTTTTATTATTATCAACTATGAACAGAAAGGTACTTATTGCGTGCTTCACAATAATACCAATAACTTGTGGTGGAACTTAAGAATCGTTATACAATCAATTCAAAGCTAAAGAGCAGTGCTTTGAATTAACTTAAAGTGCTAGTCAGTACCTTAAGTTAAAGCAACTAGGCTGACTCGACAACCTTTCCGACGTGATAATTAACTCTTTGAAGAACCAAAGCGGCCCAGACGGCCCTTCATTCAAACGACCACAACCGCCCTAAACGGCCGAAATTCCAATGTCGCTCTTTCCCTAAGGTATGCAGTAGCAGATGCAGTTTTCCAAATGCACTGTATCAGTTTATTGCAGACAGCTGGTCCTAAAAGGATTTATTTGCGGTTTCTTATCTTTGTTTGTTAGAAGTAGAGAGGATGTCAAATGAAATCTTCACTCTTCTTCATGCGTTAATTGATGGGGAGGGGAGGAATAGGGGGAAAACCATTTCAGGCGGTTCGGTAGTTTAGCATAAAGTTAGCGAAGGCTTCGTTTTTCAAAGAGTTAAACGGCCCAAAAGGCGTACCAGCAACTCCGGGTAACAGCAAAGACAGATTCGTAACATGCGCTGGCTAGCGAAAACACGCTCTGAATAAACTCCAAAATTCGCCCGTTTAAATACTCGCTTAACTTTAAATTTGCATCCTGGCGAGGAAATGCGAGGGGAAGTTGAGGAGTTCAAAAAAGATAACAAGAATTTGAATAATTAGTTTATTTAACTAAGGGAAACCGTATAAATTTTCTCCTGTTACTCAATAGGAACATACGAAAGTCATACAAAATATATCCATTTTCAGTCTTATTGTGTACCGTGAACTCTCATCTTTTTGCCTTCCATCACACTACCTTATTATCATTTGACTAAATAAAAGTTAGGTTTCTTTTATTCCTCCAATTTCAGAACATTCCAAGTTTGCTCTAGATCAAGAGTTAATTTATTGAAAAGCAGTTTATATTGATAATGGCTTTTCACCTATTGACTAAGCGGTTAAAAAATTCTGATCTCAGCGCGATAAAAAAGTATTTTCTCGCTTTAGGAGATTATAAGAGTTCTGTAATCATTCCTTTCTTTTTCTGCTAGCTGTAAAATTGTTCCCATTTTACGGAAATTAACGTTCGTATCGTTTTCCTTCTATCAGTACAATTCGCGATTCTATTCTTAAAGACTCCACTTCGGATATGAACGCCTGGGATGCATAGAAAATTCCTTGCCAGTGTCGTTTGATATATATTTTGGTCAAACTAAGTAAGCCTTAAAATTTCGCACTAAGGAGCATGAGGCACATGTTAGGAAAAACGAAACACATTGTAATATTTTAGCTAAGTTAGAAGTCCTTGAGTGCTAGAATATTGAAGAACTGTGTAGTGACTATTCGCTGAGTTCTTGTAAGTAAGAAGTCCACGGAAGGGTTAAACTTACGCTTTATTCCAACTTAAAATAAGTTAACAGATAGCCCCTTCTCGGGCTTACAATAAGCCTCCACATAGGTTTTAACTCAAGATAGAAAAAAAGAAACTAATCTAATACTAACTAAAATAAACTAGCCAAAACTGAGCAGAATTAACTGACAAATCTGGCCCTTATTTAAGATCACCGGCTTATACTAGCAGCACGTAACAGTACGGCCAAATAACGCTAAGCTTAGACTCGCAGCAACAACGTGGCCGAAAGGCAGAACACGCTCCCTTGCGCTGTTCCTCTTGAAGTGACCTAGACTTTAGCTTAAATACTTGTTCCTACCTCATTAACATAAATCGAAATTCTGAAAACTTATTTTGGCACGGAAACGTAGGTGGGAGACGAAAAAGTAAAAGAAAGGCTTGTTCCAAATTAAAATAAATATAAGAAAAATAAAGTAAACCGTACAACGTAAATCCTCCATTTCCCAACGTTCTTAGTGAAAATCATATTTTAATTTTTCTGCAACCGAAATTATTCAAAAAGCCTCTTCCTTTGGTGAATTATATTTTCTTGAGGGGTTTCACATTAATAAAGTTATTTCAGTTTTAGTCAATGATTCAAATTCCGATCCATCTTTAGCTCCAGATTTTAAGGAAATTATTTCATAGCTATTTTCATTTTTTGTCAATAGATGACGCCGGTAGTTTTGTTTCTTTTCTTAGTGAAACCTTTCTCGAACTTTCTGGTCTATTGTTATCAAGTGAGCAAAGGTTTCTCTTTCGTCGTTATCACTTCAGCAGCTGAAGAAGTAGGTTCTATATTCAAACCTTCGAAACTAAGCCTGAAAATTTATGAAAATTTATGCTGATTCTTGCTGCCTTAGTATCTTCTAATAATCTTTATTCGGCGAGTTATTTTATCTCGCATAGTCTAAATAAATTAAAATTTTAAGTAAAAGCTAGCTTTTGAAGTTAATGTTTGCTGCTTCTATTGTGTGTTTTTTTTCCTAAAAATAAAATAATATTTTCTCTTGCAGCTGATGTGAGAAAACGGCTAACGTAAAGACTAATTTTAAATAACATTTTGCATGCCTAATTAACCAGATAATAAATTGTAGAATATAATATTTATTGTTTGAAATTGGTACTAACATTATATATGCACATATAACCCACATATCTATATAATATTAGCATAATTGCAATAGCTTTTAAATATCAGGAAAGGCTAAAACAATAAAGCAATAGCGATAAAAACAAAAATGGCTATAAATTCAATTTGAAATCTGCTGGAAGAACAAAATTATCATTTACGCTAATTCAATTAAATGTTCTTGCAACAAAAATATTTTACTTACTTCTCGAATTTTTGATAATAATGACGTCATTTGCCAAGGGTGGAACTTGAAAGACATTTCCTGATCTTCTATGAACATTTTCCTACAGTATAGAATAATTTTGTTGCAATGCTAACAGTTTTTAATTTGGAATTCTTAAATATTAGAATAGAAATGTATTTATTTCATGATTATCGTTTAATTAAACTTTATTTCAAAAAGTATGTATTCTTAAACTGCATAAATATCAACCTTTACGAGTAAAAACCCATAGACGTGTCGGAGTATGATTACATTAAGGAAGGGATAAATTAAATTTTTAAAAACTCTTAACATATAAGATTATGTATATAATATAATAAACGTTATATATGTATATAATGTTTAATTATCTAGAGCTAATCACAAAAATAAAAGCTAAAAGTTAATTATCCTAGCCTAGTTTGTTTATTATCACTTAGCGTTTATAATTTAAGCTTCTAAAATTTAATCATTTTCGGTCATAAAAATGCCGAAAGAAAAAGAAAACTCGTTACAGGGATTAAAATTATAGACAGAACTGGAAACCTAAAACAATAAAGTAAGCTGCTACGCCAGATTTAAGCCAGATTTAAGCTGGTGTAAAAGATCAAGTAATATATTGAAAATTGAACTATTATACCTGCTTTAATTGTACAGTTTTTGTAGGCTAAGGCTAGAAATGGGATCTTTCAATCAAGTTATCGAAGAAGTAAAGCTAAAATTCTTTTTTTTAATAACAAACAAAATTTATCACAGAGTAATACCATACATTCACTTTTTTTTAATTTATTAATATGTTGAAAGGGAATATCTCGAGAATAATCCATTTAAAAATTAAATAAATTCAACAAAACACTAAAAAAATGCAAATAATAATTCTGACTCCAAAAATAGTGTAGAAAGTTCTCTCATTCTCGCTCTTCTCTCCCTGATAAATAGTTTGCTTTCTTAAAACATTTCAAGTCTTGGTCATAATAAAAACAACATAAGTATTCTGTGATGAATAAAAACTTGAAACTTTTATCGCAAAATGTAGAAGCATACCTTATTCTTCAATAAAAAATAAAATATCCTCTTATTCTTATCATCAAAAACAAATAGAATGTGAATAATTTTAAAATCAAATGTGATTTAATGCTGTCAACACACAGTATTCAAATATGTTTAATTCAAGACACTGTGTAGTAGCGTAATAGATAAAAGTCGGAAAGAGAAATTTTAAAAATTAGTGCTATTACAAGGTACCAAAATATATTTCTGTTTAAATAAGAAACGTCAAAAAATAAATTTTAAATTTAAAAATAAAAGCTACTTACAATTTTTTCGCTACTAATTTCACAAAACAAACAGAAATCTTAACATCATCGTTACTCATGATTCAGAAACTTCACAACATACTACTTTAGACTAAACTAAATGAAGAAATCCAGTTACAAATTTAAAGAATCTAGAACTGACCTAATTGCTCCCATAATCCCTTCATTTTCTCCAACAACTCCTTTCTAGAAGAAATAAGGAATTCTTATGTTTCCATGGTAATAACAGCTGGCAAAACTATTCGATATTTTTTATTGTTTGATCTAACAGAAATGAAGATATGTACCGAATGTGGAAGATACGTTGTGAAAGAATGACTTTTCTTTCTTTCTTTTTTTCTTTTTTTTTTTTTTTTTTTTTTTTTTTTTTTTTTTTTTTCTCTTGTTGAATGTTTCTCTGCAAGAAAACCAAAATGGCAATTTCTGAATCACGCTATCTATGTAACAATAATTTTGAAGAATGTTTTCAATTGCTAACGGATTTTTCGTTCAAATCCCAAGTTAAAAATAAATATCGAAATGAAATCAAAAATATTATTGCTGTTCTAAAATGATAAATGAATTGAAAATGCCTTAATGCTTCTGCAGTTCCTTAGCATTACTCCCTGATAGAAATAATGTGTAACTCCTAGCCATTCGAAACTTCGCACTTCATCAGCTTAATATTTAAAAAACTCTGATGTGTACACATGACTTCCTTGTAAGGAATATTAAATTATACGCAATTTTCCTGCATTTCATTTAAACATATTGAATTAAAAGTTAACGAATTTGGAATTAAATCTACTTCATCGATAACGCATAATCCACAATAGAATAAATGCACTCTTTAAAGTTCACTATATTTATTTACCATAGCGATACTTCGGCGCTAGGTTCACTTAACAGCGTTACACCTCATTTCATAAATCAGAGTGCACAAAAATTATATTATCTGAAGAATTTACCACAAATTGTATGGAAATACTATAATAAATCTAGAACGATGTATAAAAGAAATTAAACAAATAAAAAAGAAATAGTCTTTCACAGACGATTCAGGGCCGCTTACCTAATGCGCATGCGCTACTAATTAATTCAGTTCTCATTTCGCGGCAAGGCAAAAGTCCAGAAAAATTCAAAATATTTTCATTAAAAATTGAAAGATATAGAAAAACATAAAACACCAAGTACAGTTACATTTAAAAAAAATCTTTACAATTAAAATTACACTTTCTACGCAAAAACAAGCTAAGACTATATAAATTTGTTTCAGAAGTACCTTTTAAAGAGGGCTTCCTATTTATTTTTATTCTCAAATAAATCATTAACACATTTTTATACCACTTTCGAATAATTACAAGTACAACTTATTTTACATATCTTATTCCGTAAATGCTTTTCACAACTTATAACGTTTTACTTTATTCTAAACAGTTATTTTTAGTTGAACTTTCCCGTTTCTCCTGATTTCAGTTTGTATGTAAATTTTTGTATGACTTAGATGTAAATTTTAAACGTGTTTCAGAAGCAGTATTTAAGCTGCGTTTCAAAAGTTCAAAAGAGTAGTGGCGGACTTAGTTCCAATGTTTATGCTGCGAGATTAAAATTAGCTCTCAAGTTCGGTATTTGACACCTTTCAGTTTATACTGATATTCCTCGGCTCGGCCTTGGTGTGTGCAGTCAATTTAGCGTTAGGTAAGCTAAGGAGCCAGGCATTAGAATTCTTAATTTACTAGTGATTTGTTGCATTCTTATTTTCCTTTACGTAGCCACAAATGATGGTGATTTGTGAGTACGAAGTTTGTACATCTGTTTTAATTTAGATTTAATAAAAAGGTTATTCAAACCTTTCTTCTGCAATTTAGTTCTTAAAGACACAGCGAGAATTCGCTCTTAGTCTTCCACTTAGGGTTTAGAGTGTATTCTTCCAAAGTGTACACGCAAACTCTATAAACTATTTCTTCTTGAAAAATCCACTGGTATGCGAATGGAACGAAACAATAGATTTTTGTTCACAAGGAACGCTCTGTTGCTGTATTACTTGAATTTTTAGAATGCTTCATTTTGCTTCATTCAGTTTGTTCTCACATCATGCATATACAGGGTGTCCCAAAAATGTTGGGACAAACTTCTGGTGGAGCTAGGGCACATCATAAGGATTAAGAATTGCATAGGAACTCATGCCCAGAAACGTCATTGTACGCCCCAGAGGGTGCTGTACAGAAGAGTGGAAAGTGAGGATTGCCTCATTCGAGCGGTAGGTACCATACGAAGAGCATGGAATGCTATACGAATCGGGAGCTTGCACACATGCACTTAGTGAATGGAATAGCTGAGGGTAATGGACGAACCTCTGCACGCATTTATCGAGAACGCATCTCGCAATAGACATCAACCATACCACAGTTTGTTTGCAGGTCTGCGTCAAAATTTGACCGACTACGGGCCATTAAGAAGTAGACTCATTTTGGACCGGATGTTCGTAGCCATTTGAACAGATCATACCGTCATCGATGGATTGGGCGTGATAGACTAGTTACCTGGCTCCCACGCTAACCGACTTTATCGCGCCTTGATTTATTTTTGTGAGAAGCCATCAAAAGTGTCGTGTTGTGTCTGAAATGGATCTCGTAGCAAGACTCGCCTGCGCAGCTGTTACAATCAAAGAAACCCCCGGTATGCTTCAAGATATCCGGCAATAAATGGTCCGTCGATATCAGGCGTGTTTGGCGTCTGATGGTGCAAACTTCGAGCATCTGTTGTAACATTCAAGCTTCGGACACTATTTGTATTCATGTCCAATAAATGTTTCAAATTACTCACTCTCGTTTCTTTCTCCATCTTCTACCTGTACAATCACTTACCCCTCACATTTCCGGGCATGTGTTTCTATACAATTCTTAATCCTTATAATGTGACCTACCACACCCAGAAGTTTGCTGCAACATTTACGAGACATCCTGTATATAAAAAAATCGTTTCTGAGAGTTGTTTTCTCTCTCTAAAATCCGGCACAACTGTCGCTGTTAATTCATCAGTAGCTGAACATCATTGAAAACAGCACATGAAGCTCTGAGTATCTATTCTCTGGAATCTGAAATAATTCAAGATTTAAAAATATTGCTTAGATTCTGAGAAGAATTAATTAGGCAGTATCCATATTTACAAATTCTAACAAAAAGTAATGTTAAAATTACTTAAATTTAAAAATAGCTGAGAATCTTAAAAGAAGCTTTTTAAAAAATAACAGCAAAAATCTGAAATTTACGATATTATTTGAGGTCTGTGGGGAAAATAATAGCCTGGGGATCTCAAAAAAATCTCTTAAATTCGCGAAGCGATAGCAAAACCTCTGACAGTGATGGAACAATCACTCTAATTATGATACAGCATACAGGCTTAAGACAGTTTTTTAAGGTGTTTTGATTACCTACTGAAAACTCTGTGTTGGAATTGCCTGCGTTACATATTTAATTTTCTATGAAGATGCTGTTTCCAAGTTGATGTAAAATGAAAGGTGTATTATATAATAATACGTAATATTATGTAAGAATTTTAAATGTAATATTACATAAAATTAGAAGTTGATGACAATGAAATTCCGAAGGTTTAATTATCTTAAAGACTATCTTTACTTTTAAGTGAAGGATTGGTTTTATTTCATTTATTGATAGAACAGCCTTAATAGTCATGAATATACCATCTTATTTCAAGTCTTTCTCATTAACAAAATTCAAAAAAATCCTTACTTTGCGATACTAGACCAAGCAAGTAAGGAAACTCTTAGAGATATAATGGATAAAAATAACAATAAAACATTTATAGATATTCGTCCTCTCTCTGCTACACCGCAAGTCTTGAGCTGAATCTTTACATTTCTTAGTGTGTTCGATTTTCTAATTTAGAAGGTAAAATTACACCGTACACATTTTATTTCTAATTGTGCATTTCTTATTTTATTACTACTTTCAAATTTATTTTTTGTTAAAAATGTTTGTGGTACTCTGATTAAAAAAACCAATAAAAGCAGGGGGGAACATTGCTTCGTAAATACTTCTTCCTGGGCAAAATTTCGCTGTATAACGAAAATATGAAACAGTATCTCCCAAAAGGCAGAAAAAGTTTAAAATGCGTGACTAAAATATATTCGTAAAGCTATCTGATGAGATGTTTTAACTTTCATATTTTTAAGGCCAAAATGCATCGAGTTTTATGTTAGAAATATATTTTTTTCCTTGAGATTTTTAAATTTCGAAAAAGTTTTTTTTTTTTTTTTTTTTTTTTTTTTTCGTTTTGAAGTCGATAACAGATAACATGATTGTTTTGATAATTTTAGATTACAAATTTCTTTTTCCATTTATTTAGCTTTTATATGCTGAATTATTTGGAATTTTCACTTATCCGACATTTCCTGAATTTTAAAAGATTGATGAATTTTTACTGTGCTTAAATAAAATACAAAAATTATGTGCCTGACAGATTTTGAGCAAAAATTTAGGAAGACAACTTATGTTGTAGGTGGTTTTTTGTTGTTGTGTGTGTCTGTGTTTTATATATATATATATATATACGCAAAATAAGATTAATGAACAAAATAAATTAAAGGAATTATGAATACTTAATTACATAAAAATACAATGAGTTAGGTTATTCAAATATGGCAAAACACAGGAGGGATATCTGTAAAGGAAAAGATAACTGCATAGACGATATTTTAAGGGAAACCAGCTTGTATTCGCTTCAGAGATGGGTAAAACCACAAAAACCAACCATGCAACCAGCCCATTTGCCTGTGATTAAACCGAATTCCTAATATTCAACAATCTTAACCCCTGGGTTACTTGTAGGGCAAAAATACTTTGAGAGTGAGAGCTTTCGCAGATAAGCTGTCTACGAAAACTCCTTTTGTTATGGTTCCATTGTTAAGTGTGTATAATAAATTATATTACATTATTAATAATTATAAATATCCAAAATGAAATTAATGAACATAGGATTTGAAATTATTTATTGTGGTTATGTTGTTCATCACGTGGGTATTACTTATTATTGCATGTGTATATATTACTTATTATGCGTACTTTTAATATACGTATTATACGCACAAAGCATGAAATTTCAATAAAAAAATCATTCTGTAAGAAAGTAATGATATGGCTTCAGTCTTGCAACCATAAACTAAAATTCTTTAGAAGCCTTACAATAAATGTCTTTGTTTTATCATTTCAGTAACCGTCTATGCAAAAAATTACCTAATTATAAAGAATGAACATTTGTACGTAGTACCCATAGTGTATATAATGTAAATGGTTCTAGGAAAGAAGCCCACATAA